TATGGATTTCATAGAAGGCTTGCAAAAATCCAAGGAGAAATCAATAATTTGGGTAGTGGACTAAGTATGCTCATTTCATAGGATTATCTCATCACTATTCTGCAACTAATATAGCTAAGTTGTTTATGGATAATATTTACAAACTACACGGAGTACCTAAAGACATTGTTAGTGATAGGAATCCAGTTTTCACTAGCAAGTTTTGGCAAGAATTATTCTCTATGATGGGAGTAAGTTTGAGCACTTCAACAACCTATCACCCTAAATAGATGGGCAAACAGAAGTGGTGAACAGATGCCTAGAAACCTACTTGAGGTGTTTTGTTCTGATTCTCAAACTGACTGGTACCTATATCAGGCTGCAGCAAAATGGTGATATAATGCCACTTTCCACTCATCAATACAGTGCACTCCCTATGAAGCACTTTATGGACAACCACCTCCCTTACGTAGATGGTGATTCAGAATCCATGGAGGTTGATAGACGCCCGCTCACAAGGGAATTCAAGTGGAAATTGTTGAAATACCATTTGCAAAGGGCTCGGCAAAGAATGACTGAGCAAGCTAACAAACACAAATCAAATAGACAGTTTCAAGAAGGGGATTGGGTATATGTGAAAATTCAGCCTTATAGGCAAATTACCATGTCTGGGTCGCATTTTACCAAGTTATCAGCAAATATTATGTGCCATACCAAGTGATGCAGAAGGTGGGGCAGGTAGCCTACAAACTTTCACTTCCTCATCAGCTATTGTTACACCCTACCTTCCATGTGTCTCAGTTGAAGTAATGTCATGAGCTGCCAAAGGCCATATCTCATCCACCAGTGCTATAGCTAGCAAGTCTGACAGACCTCAAGCCCACAAAATTTTAGATAGGTGCATGATTCAAAAGGGGAACAAAGCAGTCGCCCAAGTTCTCATCCAATGGGAAAAGTTGCCATCTCATCTTGCAACCTGGGAAGACTACCAAGCTTTAAAGACTCGCTTTCCAAAGTTCCTTCCTTGAGGACAAGGAAGTACTTAACGAGGGGGAACTAATGCGAGATGAAATGAAGAAAGCATGTGTCAATGGTACTGGAGGCTTGCAAGGTTGTACGCAGAAGTTATACGTGGTTAAGTTAGGTTGAGAGTTAAGTTTTAAAGTTGTACAGTTGAGTCTATCGTTAGTTTATATTATAGGTTTTTATTATTACATATTAGCTCATAAGTTGTCACTGTTGGGGCACTTTAGGTCATGTCGGAGTTAGTTATATATCCTTGTCTTGTAGTGAGTAGTGGAGGCTTATATATAGTCTTGTAAACAGCTGAATGGTATCAATCAAAGCCTTATTTCAATCTTGTAGCTGTAGCTTTTTCTTTATTCTTCTTCGATTATTTGCTCGTTGCATCATATTTTGCTTATAAGTTGACGTAGTTTTCAATTGCATAATTCATATAACGAATATTATATCTTGTAAAGGTCCTTTTTATGTTTATTGACTAGCAAAATATGTTTACAGAAATATAGGAAAATATAGGCAACCGGCTTGAGGCATTCATATAAGAGGAATCTACACAGAATACAACTTATTTGAAAATTTCCCTTCATATAAAGAGGAAACAACCCCTAAACCCCTTAAAGTAAGCATCATTTACTGCTGATTCAAGAGTTGTATTGTTGGACCACCCCTATTTCCCAGGATTCTGCCTATAATTTTGTGGCTGAGGATTATAAGGTATTATGTGTGCATGTGTACATGTCCGGACACAACATCTACTACAATTTTGCAACTAATAGTAGTACTTTCATAGAGTACGAAAAGTGTCACATAAATTGGGATAAGAAGAGTAATTGTTGACATGATAAAGAAGCAGAGCACCAATAATCTGAATCTACAGAGGACCATTGAAGACATAGTTTTTAAAATGAAACAATCAAATTTCAGCATTCTCCACTGCCATAGGAAAGCCAACCAAGTGGCTGAGTTTCTAGCCAAGTTGGGATCTTCCACTGGACAGAAACAATCTTCTTGAATTATCGGCATCTACTTGTTGGTGCCAAGGGCTTGATTTTGCTGGATAAATGACAACTTCCTTCGATTAGATCCAAGAACGACAAGGCTAACTTTTGTGTAAGCTTAGTAACATTGAATAGGCCTGATAGGATGATTATGTAGGATTGTATTTTGGAGGTAAGGTTTGGTCCTCCTCGTGTAACCACCTATTCTGATGAAATACAACTCCTAGGCAATGCCTAATTTTTTCATTAAAAAAATTAAATTTTGTCTAATTAGGAGAAGATGGCAGACATACTTCCATAAACTGTTGAATGAGGAGGGGGATAGACGCATTGTGCTGGGTGAGTTGGAGCACTCTGAGAGTCGGCGGGATTTTGGGTACTGTAGGCGGATTACGGCAAAGGAGGTGGAAGGGGCGATGCGTAAGATGTGCAGGGGCAGAGCGACGGGGCCAGACGAAATTCCGGTGGAATTCTGGAAGAGCGCGGGGCGGGCAGGTTTGGAGTGGCTCACTGGGTTGTTTAATTTTATTTTTAAGACAAAGAAGATGCCCGAAGAATGAAGGTGGAGTACGATGGTTCCGCTTTTCAAGAACAATGGTGATATCCAAAATTGCAATAATTATAGGGGTATCAAGTTGTTGAGTCACACTATGATGGTTTGGGAGAGGGTGGTGGAGGCTAGGGTGAGGAGATGTGTGTCTATTTCTGAGAATCAGTTTGGATACATGCCGGGGCATTTGACTACGAAAGCGATTCATCTGGTAAGGAGATTAGTGGAGCAGTATAGGGAGAGGAAGAAGGATTTGCATATGGTGTTTATTGACCTTGAGAAAGCATACGATAAAGTTCTGAGGAAGGTCTTGTGGAGGTGTTTGGAGGTTAGCGGTGTTCCGGTAGCGTACATTAGTGTGATTAAGGATATGTATGATGATGCTAAGACTCGGGTGAGGACTGTGGGTGGTGACTCAAAGCATTTCCCTGTGGTGATGGGGTTGCACCAGGGATCGGCTCTTAGCCCATTTTTATTTACCTTGGCGATGGATGTAGTGTAACATCCAAGGGGAGGTGCATTGGTGCATGCTATTTGCCGATGATATAGTGTTGATTGATGAGATGCGTAGCGGAGTTAATGCGAGGTTGGAGGTTTGGAGATAGACCTTGGAGTCTAAAGGTTTCAAACTGAGTAGAACCAAGACAGAATACTTGGAGTACAAGTTCAGTGACGGGACCCATGATGCAGACGTAGAGGTTACGCTTGATGCTCAAGTTATCCCCAAGAGAGCGAGTTTTAAGTATCTCAGGTCGATTATCCAGGGTAACGGGGAGATTGACAAAGATGTCGCGCATCATATTGGAGCAAGATGGATGAAGTGGAGGCTCGCTTCCGGTGTTTTGTGTGATAGGAATGTGCCGCTAAGACTTAAGGGTAAGCTTATCGAGTGGTGGTTCGACCGGCTATGCTGTATGGGGCTGAGTGTTGGCCAATCAAGAACTCCCACGTGCAAAAGATGAGAGCAGTAGAGATGAGGATGTTGAGATGGATGTGTGGGTTTACCAGGAGAGATAGGATTAAAAATGAAGCTATCCGGGACAGAGTGGGAGTAGCCTCCGTGGAGGACAAGATGCGGGAGTCGAGGCTGAGATGGTTCGGACATGTTAAGAGAAGAAGCATTGATGCTCCTGTTAGGAGGTGTGAGAGGTTGTCCATGGAGAGTTTGAGAAGAGGTCGAGGTAGGCCTAAGAAGTATTGGGGAGAGGTGATTAGGCAGGACATGGCGCTGCTTCAGCTCACTGAGGACATGACCCTTGATAGGAGGGTGTGGAGGTCGAGGATTAAGGTAGAAGGTTAGTAGGTAGTTTATAGTTGTTCACCCATAGTCTTAGTAGCATGCATGTCCCTTCATATTTTTAGATTTTCATTACGTTATGTGGTTTTGTTCGCCTCAGGTATTGTATTTCGTGTTGCTATTATTTGGTACCACTTATCCTTTATCTCTCCCTTTTTCTTTTATCTTCCATCTTTCTCATTCCTTGCTTTCCTCTTCTTCTTCTTGCCCTTCCTGAGCCGAGGGTCTATTGGAAACAACCTCTCTACCTGTATTAGGTAGGGGTAAGGTCTGCGTACAGACTACCCCTCCCCAGACCCCACTTGTTGGGATCAAACTGGATTTGTTATTGTTGTTGTTGTTGTTGTCTAACCACTCTAATATATTTCTTCTCAGGTCAACATAGTAAAGAAAACTAAAAATAATGGAGTTGGAACAAAGAAAAAGCAGTGGATAAGTTTAGCAATAAATACGAGACACATTTTTATTTTTCCCTTGATTATATACTTTATAATTTTCTGTATAGACCTTTTTATGCATTCGTTTTTATATTTTAAAGCAACTTAACTTATGTTTTCCAGTTTACCTTATTGACAAGCTTTAATAACCACCAGAATGTTATGAGATGTTATAATCATAAATTTCAAAAAGATTAGTTTATTTCTTAAACTATGTGCTCCTTGAAATTAATTGAAATAGAGAGTATTAATTTTTGAGGAAATTTGGTACACATATTATTTTAAATGTCGGAAGTTTAATGTGACATTTCAATACTGAACTTTGTGACACTTATTTCAAATCTAAATTAAATGTCGGTGAGTGAATTTGCGCCATTTAAGTTGCATTATACAACGTTTATATAATGTCGTCGTATGTTGGTAAGTGAATTTCATGTGCATTAATATGAACTCAAAAAAAAGGAGGAAGTATTACAAATTAAGTGAAAGTTGCACTGTAATAAACAATATGTTCCATGACTATTTTACTGGGGGATCTAGAAGGTCGATTACGGGTTTAGTAATTCTAGTAATATATATATATATATATATATATATATATATATATATATATATATATATATATATATATATATATAGTTACATGTTAACTCAGGTATTATTGTAGTATTACGTTGAGGTCGTTATAAGAACTCAAACTTTAAATTCTGAATTTGTCATTCTAACATTGAACATATTGGCCGAAACTCAAGGCGTTCGATGATAAGACCACAGTTAGCATGAAAAGGCCTAGAATCCAACAACCATGCTTGTACATCACCATTATCATCTCCTTCACCATTGTAAAAACTTCCAATTTCTACTTCTAACCATCCATCTGTTCGTTTTTCTGGTAATTTTCCTTTTATATGCCTCGGCGCTCTTTCTGCAAGTATAACAGTAGTAGCTCTTTTTTCAGCCTCGTCTTCACTCTCTTGATTAACAAATCTAACCATTGCATTTGTTGATTCAAGGACATGGTACCTCTCTGATGTTTTGAACACTAGATAAGCTGCATAATTTGTTCTCGGAGATAATGCTCGAGTTCCAATCTTGCCTCGGATATCTAGTAAATCAATAGTGTTGGGGAATGCTACATCTGGAAATCTGTAGTTGAAGAAATATTACCTCAAATAGAATCTCTAGTTTTGTGTACTACTTAAGTTTGAAGATATTGTACCCAAAAAAATAAGTTTGAAGGTATGAAATTTCAAGAACAGAGTTGTTGTAAAACATATTGTGAATCTTATAGTAACTGTTTGCTCAAAAGTTATCATATACCTTATGAGTGTAAACAATATAAATAAATCACGGGAAAATTATAGCAAACTGTAATAATCCATTAGACCAAATGAAAGATGCGCAAATAAGTACTCAGCGTTAGGAAGAGAGACATTAAAAGCTTTTATTGATAGTATTGTTGTGGTCTGCCTCTCCATGAAGAGGTTCAGAGCCTTACAATGATGTTCCACTTTCCCATAATATGTGTATCGTTATATCTTTCTCTCTCTCTCTCTCTTGAATAGTAAAGAAGAAGAAGCCCCCCTTTCTAGGGCTTCCTCTCTTGGTATTTATAGCTGTGAGCTTCGTGAGCTGGCAATAAGTGGCCGTGACCACGTTGGGGTTTCGCCTTCATGATGACGGACGGGCCGTGGCCTTGTTGATCGAATCAGATAAGGGTTGGATACCGTTAATTCTGAGTGGCCCTACCACTAATCAATCATGAATTAGCTTAAGACGGGATTATCTTCGTTAATTATTGTGGGGTCGGATTCTGACCCATACAGTAATCATCTAAGGTTATATACAGTGATTTAATTTCTGAAAATTGGTATCTAAGAAATTAAAATTATAATAGCAAATGAAGCCTTACTAGTATATAATGGCGGATCTAGGATTTTATACAAGCAGGTTCAGTCAAAAAGCATAGTAGCCACTTGTATAAGCGGCACCGGTAAATAGAATTTGCTCATTACTCAGTTTTGTTCATCATGCGACCTCAAAATATAAGTCATTGACACTCTTTTTCAATCAAAGTTGAGAATTTTTTTTAAAAAAAACTAGTTATTGTTAATAAAGTCAGTGGACCCTCTTTGTCGCTGCTCTTCAATTCCCATTTGGTGAAGCGGGTTCATGTTTCATAATATTATCTGCTTTCATGATTTTCTGAAGAAGTTAACAGGTGAGAATAATTAATTTTTCGACGAATCAACTGAACCCCCTTACTATAAGGTGGGTCCGCCTCTGCTAGTATATAGCTTCCGGGGAAGACAATAAGAAACACATTTTGATCTAAGCAAATTTTGACAAATGGTTAACAGTGGTTAGTTGGTAACCTTAGTTAATAGTTAGATAGAATTAATTTGTACATCTGGATATTAGTTGTATTAGTCAGCTAGTTAGTTGGTTGGTTAGTTAGATACATAGAGTTGAATCTCTTCCTGTAATTCATTCTAAGCAATTGGAATTAGTTGTTGCTCTCATTTTCTCTCTTCTCAATTCTGTTATCTGAGTTTCTTCAAGCATTGATGCGCAATGTTTGAGAAAGTTGAACATAAAAGTGTCATTTGACTCAATAAAAATGTAACGCGTTCAAATTTGATATAAACGAGTCAGGTTACGTCACTAATTAATCTATCTTAACCCAACTCATTTTGACCCAAAATAACTTTTAGAAAAGTTGGATCATAACTCACGTGTTGAATCAACTGTTTAATTCGTCCCCAAACTTGTAACCCGTTCATTTGACACCTACAAAAGCTTCTTAATAAGACATTTTTGATATGTTTTATTACGGTTGTAAAACATTTCTTGTTACCTTACTCGGATAACAAAATAGTCTAACATCTGCTAGAATATCCATAGAGCATGTCAACGTGTAAATTGTAAAGTCCGTTTAAAATATATTCGAAAATCACATGGAGTAACCAATTTTATGTTTTAACGAGGCAGAGTAAATACCTTGAATCAGTGTCAGATATCCATTCCCAGAATAATTGTATGTCTGAAAAAGAAATTACCAGTCGTCTTGCAGATAGTAGATAACATTTCTTCCCACTTGTTTTGTCAACCCAAAAAGTCTGCTAAAAAAGTAGAAGTCAAATATAAAATAATATTATTTTATTTACCGAACTCCCTTCGCCGAACCAGTAAAATGGAAAATTTAAATTTAAATTATTTTCAAATATAAAAATATATTTTTCGAAAATAACTGAACAGTGCCGGCTCAAGGCTAAAGCCAGTGAAGCAATGGCTTTAGGCCCCCATATTTTTGAGGCCCCATTTTTAAATTAGCAGTAATAGGTTAATTTTATGGTAGTCTTCTTTTAAGAAAATACAGTAATTTTGATTAAAAAAAATATAAGAGCTTCATAAAAAAAAATAGAAAAAGATTATTTAGCCGATGTGATTGATGGTGACTGAGGGTAAATTTACATTCTAATAATAATATTTTCTTTTCTTTTCTTTCTCATAATAAAACTAGTAATTTATATTCTCTTTGTCACACCTTTTTTACACACCTACCCCGAAAGATAATGTATAAGGGAGTTTTTCCAATTAAAGTGACATTATTCGAAATGGGATTTTTTATTGATCAAAGTCGTCACTTGGGATAGGTTTGGCTTTTGGTGTCCCAAGTCACCGGTTTATCTCGAATCCCAAATCGAGGAAGTATTCGACTTTCCAAATGAAGTCTGCGAACCAGAAATTCTGAATAAGAAATTTTGTTAACTCGAGGGAAGGTGTTAGGCACCCCCGGATTCTGTGATTTTAGCACTGTCGCTTAAACTATCATAATTGGTCTATTACCTGATTTTAATACATGTTTCAATCTATAGTGCAATTTTAAGTTATTTACCGCTTTAAATTAATTTTTAAGGAATTTTGCAACGTTATTAAAACACGTCTCGAACCATGTCACATAAATGCACCCGTGATTTTTGACATATTTTAACACCCTGAGATTTGGATTTGGGTCACATAAATGCGCACCCGAATTTAGGAAGGTAGATTATTAAAAAGCGCGCCTAAAGTAACTAGCGTGTTGATATCTTTGCGGGAGGCCATGAAAATTCGTTAAATGGCACGTCCCGATTTCTAAGTATTTTTAATGGGGTAATTAAAGAGGGCCACGCAATTTATGAATTTTGTTTGGCGCGGCGCACCCCGTTTTATTTTTAAGGCCATCCTAAAAGGGGCTATTATTCTCTATGGAAGATTGTCTTTAAAAGCCTAATTAATTAACATTATTAATAAACTATTAAAAGCATTCAAGGAATTCGGGCCTCAAGATCAAGTCCAAATTTAAACAAGAGGGAGACCTCTTAATTCAAATTTGCTACTTAACTTGGAAGGCCCAAAATTATATGGCAAAATTAAACTTCCAGGTCTTAAAAGAAATCAAACTCTCAGCATATTGGGCTTTAAGACCAGCCCAAGAGTGAGAATTATGGCCTGGTTTTTTTTATAAAGACTCACCCAGTCGTGGGCCTTTGCACAAGCCCAAGTGAAAGATGAAATAAAGTCAAAAGGGCCTGAATCGAGACCCCATAGTCTCACTATTTATTTTATAACTGGGCCTATTATTAACATAACCAAGCCCAATATGAAACTGTTCGTATATGAAGTTTCAGCTGTGAAGCTCACTATTATATTTGGGCCTCGAGCAGGCCCAACTCATTCATCTGGACAGCTTATTGTTGGCCCAGGTGTAGTGAATAAACCTTGAATTTTGGTATCTATCTGAATTCTACACTATGGCAGTGGAGAACTATTTTTAGGGAGTCGAAACAAATTAACCTAACAATTCAACACCTACAACAGTTAAACAATTTAAAAATCATTGAAACATGTAAATGACTAAACAGTTAAACCATTCATAATCCGATTTTTATGGTAGTTAGGACGTTCTGAATAGCTAAGCTTCAAATTTACAGGTTGATTTTAAATCTAACTTTCATGCTTTCTTCCAGGACGTGTATATCCCTATGAATACATACTTATCCTAGAGTTTATTTCCAGGAAACAGATTCAAACCTGTACAATATACATTGGCAGCATTTACCAAACATGAGTCTAAACATAATGTTAATGCAATACCTATAGCAACATGATGTCAGATTTTAAAATGAAACTAAGCTATATTAAAACTTTAATAAACAGAGCACCAATATACGTTGAAAAATAATTCCAAACAGTCCCATTACAAACAGTCCAAAGTTCTCTTAATACAACCAAGGCATTATGGTATCAATTATGCTAAATCTAAGCTAGATAAAACAATAGAGATTCATGTAAAAGAACAGGCAGTGGTTCATCATTCATTTTTCAAGTTTGTTCATACACACTGACCCAATCTTCACATAGCATTTGAGATTAAAAGGTACCTGGAATTTGAATGAAAAATGAAGAAATGGAGGGTCAGCTTAAGCAGCAAGGGACAACAACAATAAAATCGATTTTTAGAACCAAAAACAGTATCACAGCAGCCCAGGAATTGAATTCGGAGGAGCGGCACCAGTAATCAACCAAAAACAGCTTGAGTAAACCAAATTTAAACTCAGAAACAATCCAGGGACTTCTGAAGCTTCAGATACTGAATTACAAGGAACTTCTAACCATTTTTTAACCTTATATAAGCTGGAAATTTGATCTAACAGCTGGAACACAAAATTATCCTAAGAAAACTTCAATGGAATAGTATTTTTGGGAGTTTTTGGCTGCCTGAAGCTTCAGGACTTTGCAGTATTTCTAAGACTAATTTTTTTTGAATTTTTCCAGATCTCCCCCCTTGTATTGTAAGGCAAGGCACTGCCTTTTTATAGACAAAATTAGGGAAGTATTCAGATTTTCCTTTTGCACCCTTGCCCCCTCTTTTATTTTCAGTTTTTGCTTAGTTAGTCCTTTACTTGTTGGCTTGTTGCCCAAGTTACTACACTTAATTCCTGAATTTCAAATTAGAACCCCATCTAGAAGGTTCTAGGGGGTTCCAATTCAATTACTGCAGGATTCTTTTACTGAAAAATGCCTATACTACCCCTGTCCTTACCCCTTGAATTACTAAACCATGCCAAACTAACCCTAGCCCTTTGAACTTTGTCAAAAATGACCATGGTTAACTAATAAGGGCCTGGAAATGTTCAGTAACAATCAAACAACACTTCAATTATCAAAAACTTCCAAAAATTAAACTAAACCTAATTTTAATCCTAAATTAATCCCTAGTGGTTCAAATTAGCAAACTACAGGCCATTATCAATTAAACAGGAATCTATGGAGACAAACAGAATTAAACACATATTGAATCACTGAATGATGCATCGGAAAAATCAACACTCAAAATATGAATCAAACTGAATCAACATTAATTCTAAGAAAACTAAAAAAAATAAGCAGAAAAATCAAAACTAAAAAGCAAATTCTAAGAACAGACAAAAATGAACAGAAAAGATCAAGGAGCAGACTGAAATTCCCTAAATTATATACTGGAGAAAAATCAATAAGAATTGAACAAAAGCAAAAAAAAATAAGCAAAACAGTAAAAGAGAAAACAAGAAGAAAGACTTACTGATTCTGGCCTAACCTGACTGACTTCGAACTTGGTCCTCAAATAATGTTATGTGCTTGTTCTTGCTAAGAAAAAACACATAACATTATTTGGAACCAATTCCAACATTGGTCTTCTTTTGAAACTCGAACCAGTCATAAACCAAACCCTAGATCTAAAATTCGAGGGATTGTGGTTGGATTTGAGGGAAATTGGTTTGGGATTTGGGAAGAAGAGGGTGAGGAGACCCTAGGGTATAATTTTGGGGAAGTTTGGAGGTGGCACCGCCGTGTACGGCGGAGGCGGCGACCACTGTTTTGGTTATTCGAGGGGTTCGGAGGGGATTTGAGGAAAAGTAAGGTTGGATTTGTAAAGGGGAGGTGAGGGGAGGCAGTGGTGAAAATATGGGAGCATTTGGACAATCGCCGCCGGCGGAGGCGATTTCTGACCGGCGGCGGACGGCGGAGGACGGCGGCATCAGGGTTCAGGTGAGAGGTCGGAGAGATGGTGAGGGTAGGGGGGTTCTGAGGGGGGTGGTAACGTTTGGACATTTAAATACTTAAAGATGTGGGCTTCAGGACCGTCCGATCAAGAAACCTCGACGGTCCTGATTGAATGAGCTCAAAACGACGTCGTTTTATGATCTGGGGGGCTGGACCGGGTGAGATTTTTGGTTTGGGCTGGGTTGAGACTAGGTTGGCTTCATTTGGGCTGCTAATTTAATCAGAAACTGGCCCAAAACATGGGTCCTTATTAAGACCTTTTAATTTCTTTTAATTTTTCTTTTTTTTCAATTTTTTCTCTTTTTTTCAATTTTATTTCATTTTCATTTTATTTTTTGGATTTTTGTTAAATACAAAATAAAAATGAAAAGACCTGATTTAATTCTACAACTAAACTAATTAATTAAAAACCAATTTGAGAATTAAAAGTAAAAAATGCAAAAGGACTTTTTTTTTATTTTCTCTTATTTCTTGTAATGTTAATTAACTAGTAAACCCAAAAAATATTAAAATGGGGTCCTAAATGCAAATTGTATTTTTATGAATTCTATCAACTAAAAATGCACACAAAAATGCAAACAATCACAAGAATTATGCAATTAATCCTAAAAAAATCAAACAAATAAAGAAAAATCCTAATTTTAAGAATTCTATAGGAGTAATTTAAGCGAGGCAAAAATCACGTGCTCACAGCTGCCCCTCTTTGCTCGGAGACACGAAGGGTTTTCGGGCAAAGATAAATGAGCAATCATGAGATTTTTGCCTGCTTGGCACTCCATGAGAAGCATTTTTGAAAACCGTCTGACCGACCTTGCTTCAGAGGTTGCCTACATATCCTTGGCTATAAAGGAATCAGGTCAGTGTAGTTCTGGAAGTTTTGGTAGCTGGGACTACCAGGAGATGTGATTTCACTGTTGTTGTTGCTACTACTGCTTGCTGACCTCTTTATTACATCAAAAGGAAAATCAAAGCTAAGCTAGCTATGCCTATCAACTATGAGTTACAAGATTCCTATCTATAAATCTCTTGAAACTTGATCTTGAGTCTTAGCCGATTTTTCTGTGGACTTCGATCTGAATCTTGATGCTCGCAAGTATTAGGTCAAAGCGGGATCGGTGGAGCTTGTGGCTTCAATCAAGTTTTGAGCAGTCCGCATCTCTATTCACTTCAGCATTTTGAATTCACTTCTTTTTGTTCTTTCTCTTATTTTCTTTATTCTAGATTGAGACTCATCCCTTTGGTCATCTCGAACCCTTGTGCCCTGAGGTCAACCCTGCTCAAACACCAAAACAAAACAAACGAACGAAATTCTTCTGCCCCAGTTTTCACTAGAAAAATTTCGTGAGTTATTTGTGACAAAATCTAAACTCATTCTCTTTTTATTTTTTATTTTTCAAGAATTGTATTTATCTATGATGGAACGGACTAGGGAATGGAACCCTGTTTCTAAAAGGCGCAACTCAAGGGTTAGAGCCCTAATGTTGGCAAAAGGTAAAAAGCTCAACTCAGGATTGGAGCCCTATTGTTGGCTAAAGGAAAAACGCACAACTCAGGGGTTGGAACCCTAATGTTGGCTAAAAGGAAAAACGCTCAACTCAGGGGTTGGAGCCCTAATGTTGGCCAAAGGGAAAACGCTCAACTCAGGGGTTGGAGCCCTAATGTTGGCTAAAGGGAAAAATGCTCAACTCAGGGGTTGGAGCCCTAATGTTGGATAAAGGAAAAACACGCTCAACTCAGGGGTTGGAGCCCTAATGTTGGCTAAAGGAAAAACACGCTCAACTCAGGGGTTGGAGCCCTAATGTTGGCTAAAAGGAAAAACGCTCAACTCAGGGGTTGGAGCCCTAATGTTGGCTAAAGAAAATGCTCAACTCAGGGGTTGGAGCCCTAATGTTGGCTAAAGGAGAACGCTCAACTCAGGGGTTGGAGCCCTAATGTTGGCAAAGGGAAAAACGCTCAACTCAGGGGTTGGAGCCCTAATGTTGGCTAAAAGGAAAACGCTCAACTCAGGGGTTGGAGCCCTAATGTTGGCTAAAAGGAAAACGCTCAACTCAGGGGTTGGAGCCCTAATGTTGGCTAAAAGGAAAAACTCAACTCAGGGGTTGGAGCCCTAATGTTGGCTAAAGGGAAAAACGCTCAACTCAGGGGTTGGAGCCCTAATGTTGGCTAAAGGAACGCTCAACTCAGGGGTTGGAGCCCTAATGTTGGCTAAAGGAAAAACGCTCAACTCAGGGGTTGGAGCCCTAATGTTGGCTAAAAGGAAAAACGCTGGAAAACGCTCAACTCAGGGGTTGGAGCCCTATGTTGGCTAAAGGGAAAAACGCTCAACTCAGGGGTTGGAGCCCTAAAGTTGGCTAAAAGGAAAAACGCTCAACTTAGAGGTTGGAGCCCTAATGTTGGCTAAAAGGAAAAATGCTCAACTCAAGGGTTGGAGCCCTAATGTTGGCTAAAAGGAAAACGCTCAACTCAGGGGTTGGAGCCCTAATGTTGGCTAAAGGAAAAAACGCTCAACTCAGGGGTTGGAGCCCTAATGTTGGCTAAAAGGAAAAACGCTCAACTTAGAGGTTGGAGCCCTAATGTTGGCTAAAAGGAAAAATGCTCAACTCAAGGGTTGGAGCCCTAATGTTGGCTAAAAGGAAAACGCTCAACTCAGGGGTTGGAGCCCTAATGTTGGCTAAACCAAGTAACAGATTGATATTGGGAATTCTAAACTATCCTTTTTTTTGGGATTCTTTTGTTATCTCCTTTTTTCTCTTCTTTTTTTTCATTTTTGATAAGATGCGGGAAAGAACTTGGAGGAAACTTCCTCTTTGCATTGATTATTTGCTGCAAAGTTGTTTCAGCACTTGCGCGTTTCTTTTCTTTTGGCTGCACCTGCTTTTGCGCGGTTGCCTGGATTGCACCTGTTTCAATTTTCAATCAAAGAACAATTGATAGTTTGAAATGGTGGTTGGTTTTGTGGCCTTGATTACTTGATCTCGGCCTATCTTCTGTCGAGAACCTCTGCTGCTTGCTGGTTTTGAAGATTCTTCTCTCTTTCAAACTGGATGGCTCATCTTGCAGGATTTCATGACAACACGCCCGCATGGGGCTCCGGCGTTTCACTTTATTCTGCCTTTAAGACTTTTGTCCTTGACCTTTTTTTTTGTTTTTCTCTTTCACTAGCTTGATTTCAAAGCATCTGCCAACATGGCCAATCGGGATTGACTTGATGCACCCGCTGAGGCTGGGTACTTTTCTTTAACTTTGTTAGGGGGAGCCCTATAAAGCCAATCCTGCCACCTTTTCTTTGTAATAGTTTCGAAATCAGCGTTAGACCGAAAGGGATTCAACGAAAAAGTAAGCAAGAAGATGAATTTAAAGAGAAGCGTCCCTTTCCGGGGGGAAGAGAAGGACTTATTTCGGGGTGCATGCAAGCTTCAAATAAACATGACATGCTTATTGGACTGGATTCCCGATCCGCACAAACATTCCAACTTCTCATAAACTCATTGACCTGTGTCTCAAAACCAGAGAACCTTGCCAGGACTCCTTTAGTGGTGGGAGATGTCTTCTCTTCGGCCGACGGCGCCCTTTGCGGGTTTTCGCCAATCGACCTCTCTCATTTCTCTTCTCACCGTCGCCCGATAGTGCTCTTTACGAGTTTTCACTAAGCGGACTCTCTCATTTTCAATTTCTCTACCCACCGTCGCCTTATGGTGCCCGTAGGTTTTCACCGATAAGACTCTCTCATTTTATTTCTCTCAATTTGATTACATCAGATTCCAACCATGATGTTTTCAATTACCACGCCTTTGTCAATTGATCGGAAGGACTTGGACAAGGTTTTGGGCAAAAAGAATCTTGGATGGAGTTTACAACTTTGGAACCGAGTTTCATTTTTTGGGGAATTGGGATTTTTGTTTTGGTGTTACTGAACCCCAGAGAGAGGCTGCCTACGTATCCTTTCGGAATCAAGTCAGACGTAGTTAAGGAAACATTTGTTTTTGGTTGTTTTTGTTTTGTTTTGTTTTTTTTCATCATATTTTCTTTTCTTTTGTTTTTGTTTTTTCATATTTTCTTTTTCTTTTCTTTCCTTTTTTTTCATCACATTTTCTTTTTCTCTTTTTTTCTCTTTTTTTTTCTTTTCTCTTTTCCTTTTTTCGATAATAATTTCGGGTTCCAAAGAGGGTGATCAAAGAAGAGTAACCGGCTAAAAGGGTTTACGAAGGATTGATAGTGTTTGGGTAGCGGGAAGGAAAGCCTTCGTCATCTCAATTGCACAAAAGTCATCACCACAGGAGGCCTAGACATAATACCTTTTTACTGCATCTGCATTGACTGCTGCTTCGGGATCATTTCCTTCGATGTCTCCCAGATACAGTGCTCCCCTTGGCTATATCTTTCAGATGATGTATGGACCCTTCCAATTAGGAGCAAAATTTCCTTTGGCTTCCTGGTGATGAGGGAGAATACGTCTTAACACGAGTTGTCCCACTTCAAAATTCCTGGGTCGTACTTTCTTATTATAAGCGCGGGCCATTCTTTGTTGGTACAACTGCCCGTGACAAACCGCGGCCATCCGCTTTTCATCAATTAAAGACAACTGCTCTAGACGAGTCTTGACCCATTCACTATCCTCAATTTCTGCTTCAACGATGATCCGGAGAGAAGGGATTTCTACCTCTGCGGGTATAACAGCATCGGTTCCATAGACCAATAATTACGGGGTTGCTCCGATCGATGTACGTACTATGGTGCGATATCCGAGTAATGCAAAAGGCAGCTTTTCATGCCATTGCCTGGAGCTTTGAATCATCTTTCTCAAAATCTTCTTGATGTTCTTATTTGCTGCTTCAACGGCCCCATTGGCTTTCGGCCGATAAGGAGTAGAGTTTCTATGCGTTATCTTGAATTGTTCGCATACCTCTCCCATCAGACGACTGTTCAAGTTCGCAGCATTGTCGGTAATGATAGTTGCAGGAATGCCAAAGCGGCAAATGAGATTGGAGTGCACGAAGTCTACCACAGCTTCTTGGTAACTGACTTGAGTGTGATGGCTTCCACCCACTTCGTGAAGTAGTCAATAGCAACCAATATGAATCTATGTCCATTTAAGGCTTTTGGCTCGATTGGCCCAATAACGTCCATGCCCCAGGCAACGAATGGCCAAGGTGCTGACATAGGATGAAGCTCTGTTGGAGGTGCATGAATCAAATCACCGTACACCTGACACTTATGGCACTTTCGGACAAAGTTGAAGCAATCCTTCTCCATAGTTATCCAATAATACCCCGCCCGCAGGATCTTCTTTGCCAAAACATATCCGTTCATATGAGGTCCGCATACCCCCACGTGTACTTCATGCATAATTCTTCCGGCTTCCTCGGCATCAACACATCTCAGCAAGTTGAGGTCCGGGGTCCTTTTATACAAGACATCACCGCTTAAGAAGAAACCACCCGCGTGCCGTCTAATGGTTCTCTTTTGTTCTCCAGTGGCTTGCTCGAGGTATTCTTAGGTTTTCATAAATCTCTTGATATCATGATACCATGGCTGGGTGCTGGGTTCCGCCTCGACCGCGTTGCAATAACCATGCCTTTCTTTGATTTGAATTTCCAGAGGATCAATATGGGCATTGCCTGGGTAAGGCAGCATCGAGGCCAGAGTGGCGAGTGCATCGGCTAGTTCATTGTGACACCGAGGAATGTACCTGAATTCTATCGCCTTGAAGCGCTTGCTGAGGTCTTCCACATGTCGCCGATAGGGAATGAGCTTAACATCTCGGGTCTCCCACTCTCCCTGGGCTTGACGGATAATCAGATCAGAATCCCCCATGATCAATAAATCTTCAACATCTTAGTCGATTGCCATATTCATGCCCATGATGCAGGCTTCATACTCAGCAGTATTGTTTGTGCAGAAGAATCGGAGCCTGGCTGTAGCTGGTTAGTGCTGGCCCGTGGGTGAGATCAAGATTGCCCCAATTCCTACACCTCTAGCATTCACTGCTCCGTCAAAGAACATTTTCCAAGCACGAGTGTCCTCAGAGATTGCCTCTACTGAATTTACCTCCTCATCTGGGAAGTATGTGCTCAACGGTTGGTATTCCTCGTCCACCGGTTTTTCGCCAGATGATCTGCCAACGCCTGGGCTTTCATTGCCGTGCGAGTGACATAGACTATGTCAAATTCAGTGAGCAGAATCTACCATTTCGCTAATTTCCCTGTGGGCATCGGTTTCTGGAATATGTATTTCAAAGGATCCAACCTGGTTATAAGGTAGGTGGTGTGAGCTTGAAGATAATGTCTTAGCTTTTGAGCAACCCAAGTCAAAGCACAGCAGGTTCTCTCCAACAGAGTATATTTAGCTTCATAACTGGTGAACTTCTTGCTCAAGTAGTAGATTGCCTGTTCTTTCTTCCCGGCTACATCATGTTGCCCGAGGACACAGCCGAAAGAATTTTCCAAGACCGTCAGATATAAGAAAAAAGGTCTCCCTGGCTCCGGTGGGACCAAGACTGGCGGATTTGACAAGTATTCTTTGATCTTGTCGAAGGCTTCTTGACATTCATCCGTCCACTTGACTGCTGCATCTTTCTTCAATAACTTGAATATGGGCTCACAGGTGGAAGTCAATTGAGCAATGAACCGGCTGATATAGTTTAATCTGCCCAACAGGCTCATCACATCTTTCTTGGTTCTCGGAGGAGGCAAATCCTGGATAGACTTTATCTTTGTTGGGTCTAACTCGATACCTCTCCTGCTAACTATGAAGCCCAAAAGTTTGCTGGATGGGACTTCAAATGCACACTTGGCTGGGTTCAGCATCAGATCATACTTGCGCAACCGCTCGAAGAATTTTCTCAAGTCTCGAACGTGATCATCCTGAGTTCGGGACTTGATGATTACGTCATCAACATATACTTCTATCTCCTGATGCATCATGTCATGGAAAATGGTGGTCATGGCCCTCATGTAGGTTTCCCCAGCATTCTTCAGACCGAACGGCATGACTCTGTAACAGTATGTACCCCAAGATGTTGTAAAAGTTATCTTTTCGGCATCTTCTTCATCCATCAACACCTGATGATATCCTGCGTAACAGTCCACGAAGGACTGTATCTCATGCTTGGCGCAGTTATCAACAAGGATGTGGATGTTGGGCAAAGGGAAATTGTCTTTGGGACTTACCTTGTTTAAGTCTCTATAATCCACACACACCTGGGTCTTTCCATCTTTCTTTGGAACTGGGACTACATTGGCCAACCATGTAGTGTACCGGACCACTCGGATTACCCCTGCTTTCAGCTGTTTCGTGATTTCTTCTTTGATCTTATCACTGATGTCTGTTTTAAACTTTCTCTGCTTTTGTTGGACCGGAGGACAATCGGGGTAAATTGGCAATTTATGCACCACTAGATCAACGATTAGTCCTGGCATGTCATCATATGACCAAGCAAACACATCTTTATACTCAAACAGGAGTTGGATTATTGCATCTCGATTTTTCTCATCTGTGTGAATGCTTATTTTGGTTTCTCTGATTTCTTCGGCTGTTCCCAAATTAACCGGCTCAGTTTCATTCAGATTTGGCTTAGGTTTGTTCTCAAATTGTTCTAGTTCTCCATTTATTTCCCTAAAAGCCTCTTTTTCATCATATTCCGGTTCTTGGTTCATTATTTCACAGTTAGAAAGCGTGTTTGAGTCTGGGCATGAAGTCCGCAAGCATGTCATATTATTTATGCCGCATTATTAGAACTGAAAAGAAAAAATGAAAAGGAAAATAACAGAAATTAGAAAGAGAAAAATGGACGATGAAATATTGATTTCATTTCTTGGAATTGGAAAGATAACAGGGTTTACATTCAAGAATTTAAAAGACAAGAAACTAAAAGAAACATCCGAGTTACACCCTGAAATAACTCGGGATACAGAAAAAGTGGCAGGGCTAGTCTACCGGGACTCCTGCCTGATCGGGAATGGCGTAGCCTTCCAGTTCTGCAGTTTGGCGCCTGGTCCCATATACAGCACCTCAGCGGTGCTGGAGCCCTCTCCCGGCTGAACCAAGTGGGTTTCGTATAATATCCTTCTCATTGCCCCACATATCTCTTCAATCTCTTCGGTCGTAAAGGCCTCATCCTTTTCTTCTTTATAGTATTTTGGCTTAACAAGGTCTCGTACAGATGTGGCAGTGGCTGTGGCAAGACCCATCCCTCTTTCTTTCTCTCAACCGCCCACTCTACATCATCTGGGGTGGGGTGAAAACCTATCCCGAAGAATTTTTCAGTTGTTGGCAGGGTCACCGGTTCGGATATTCCTTGCAGATCTTTTCCAAGTCCCTTCCCTGGCTTGAAACCATGTCTGATCATTTCTTTGGCCACCATAATCGAGGCATTGGATAGGAAGGGTTGGGGACAAGGGTTTCCTTCTTCATGCTGGTCCGCCACCACAATTTCGAATGCTTGGTAAACTATGTGTTCACTGCCTTCCCTCGCTTCTAGGCATGGGACAGATGGGTCCCGATAGATTGACTGTTCATCCTTTCCATGAACCACGATCTCCTGATCCTCGTGTTCAAATTTCACCATTTGATGGAGGGTAGAGGGCACCGCTCCTGCAACATAGATCCAAGGCCTTCTCAGATGAAAATTGTAGGACGTGTCCATGTCTAGCACTTGGAAAGTCACCTCGAAGTCCACCGGGCCAATGGTCAAGATTAGGTCAATTTCTCCTATGGTGTCTCTTTTGATACCGTCAAAGGCTCTTACACAGACATTGTTGGGACGAATCCTTCCAGTCCCGATTTCCATTCTTTGCAGTGTGGAGAGTGGGCAGATGTCAACACCCGAACCTCCATCCACCATGACTCGCTTGACATAGTAGCCTTCACACTTGACAATCTGATATAAGGCTTTGTTGTGAGCCGCTCCCTCTAGAGGCAAGTCATTTCTACTAAAGGAGATTTGATTGACGGCGAAGAATCATTCTGCCATTCTTCCAAGCTGTTTAACCGAAGTTCCAACTGGCACATATGCCTCATTCAGACTTTTCATTAAGATCTTTTGATGTTCGGAGGATTTCATCACCAATGACAGCATTGACACTTGTTCAGCATATTTTCTCAATTGATCTACTACCTCATAATCAGGCATCTTCATTTTCTGGAAGAAAGCTTCTGCTTCCTCAGTACTCACAGGCTTCTTGGATGGAAAGCGCTTTCGTGTGGCATTGTTTACTTCTTCTATGTTTGAATATTTTTCAACAGGGGTATTTTCTAGAAGCTTTCCCAAGATCTCTTTTCCTTTATACGTAACCACCGTCGGATGATAATTCCAAGGCACTGCAGCAGGGTTCGTCATGGGCTTCTGTGGCACGCTTCCAATAACCACTGGCTCATTCAGCCAAGGTGGTTTAATTGTCCCCCGTACCACATAGGCTCCCTTCGGTACGTACATTTGCATTCCTTTTTTCAACTCAAATTTCTTTGGAGTGTTCACAATCAATTGTTTTTCTTGGCGGCCTCGCGGGACATAGAGGATCCCATTCTCAGGAGGCATTGCCTCTGTTTTTGTTTCAGCTTTCTTTTCTGGTTCTGTCTCGGTGACTTTGCTCTTCTTTTCCCCTTTCTCTTGCTTGGGGGCCACCTTTGGCTTTCTTTCTGCATCAGCAATGACAATGATGGCCTTTAATGCCGGATCAAACTCTTTATCCTCATAGATCATCCCAATCACAGGCCCATTATTGTGGGCTGGCAATGGATTGTTGGTCACATTTGGGACATCCTCGTCCTTCAGTACGATTTTTCCTTGCTCTGTTAGATGCTCCATAGCTCGTTTCAGTGTCCAACAGTCATTTATATCATGGCCTTCTGCCCCTGAATGATAAGCGCACCTCATACCGGCTTTGTAGGCAGGCGATGCCGGGTTTTGTCTATTTTGAGGGACCGGCTGCAGTAGACCCATTTGGACAAGTTTTGGAAACAAATTAGAGTAAGATTCACCAATTGGAGTAAAGGTTTGCCTCCTAGGTGGCTCACGGGGAGGAAAGTTATTCTGTGGAGGACGGGGATTATAGTGGTTTTGGTGGGGAGGCTGATTTCTTGGGAATGGAACTTGGTTTCTATTGGCATGTGGCTGAGGCCGAGCAAAGCGTTGAGCATTCATGACCGCATAAGGTGAAGGAGCGTAAGCCGTATCATGAGGAGGGTAGTAATGTTGAGGGGTTCTTTCGGAAAACAGAATTCTAGGAGCCCGGTATCTTCTTGCCCCTGACGCTGCCATAATCGTTTCCTCTTTCTTTTTACCTTTGGCCATTCCTCCAGACCCGCCTTGGATGGCTTGGGAGGTTGCTCTGATGGCCGACTGACTCAAAATCCTGCCCGTTTTCAAACCATTTTCTACCATTTCCCCGATCTTAATCGCCTCTGCAAAAGGTTTGCCCATGGCTGACATCATGTTCCGGAAATAATCCGCCTCCTGGGCCTGAAGAAAGACAGTAACCATTTCTACTTCATCCATGGGAGGTTTCACCCTCGATGCCTTTTCGCTCCACTTAATAGCATATTCTCTGAAGCTTTCCGAGGGCTTCTTCTTCAAGTTTTCCAAGGAGTTCCTGTCTGGAGTGATGTCGATGTTGTATTGAAACTGCCTTACAAAATCTCAGGAAAGATCGTCCCAAATGTGCCATCGTGAGACATCTTGGTCCATATACCATTTTGAGGCAATGCCTACTAAGCTTTCTCCGAAGTATGCCATCAACAACTCTTCTTTTCCGCCGGCTCCGAGCAACTGATTACAATACTTTTTCAAGTGAGCAATGGGATCTCCATGCCCATCA